AGCCTTTGAAAAAAAAAAAGTCAATATTTTTCCCTCAAACGAACCAAGTATGAAAAGTGGGGTGTATTTTCATTCCTTTGTTCAGTAAAGCCACAGAGATTATGTCCTGTCCAGAGGCAAGGGGAATGTGATCCTGCTCCATCATTTAATTCGTGCCATAGCCCAGAAATACCACAGTGAGCCTCTCAGGAAAGCAGGTGGATAATCTTCGTAAAGAAAAACTCACCACAGTATTTTATTCTGATTGTTTCCTTAGAAAGAGTGGCTAATTTACAGTGCCTGAACAATGCAGTCCTTACTGAGGCAAAGTGCTTGTTGAATGTAATGGGTTACTTTACCTAGGTATTTGCAGAGAATGCAAAAAGGTCTCAGCAAGGCGGAGCTTAGTAGCACTAGCCCAGTCTAAAACAAGAGGATTTGGCCTTCTGGCACCATCTGTAGGGGGCCAGTCCATGCAGCTGTTGAGCCTCTGGTCACAGCAGTCCCAATGACTTATCCACCAACCCCCCACTTGGTTCCTGCCCTGGAGCAGAAATTTATCATGAGTTGGCACATGTGAAGTAGCATTTGCCCCCAATGAACACAACTGGAGTTGTACAGAGTTCTGTCAGTCTGGCAGTTTGTGGCTTTATTCCAAGTTTTTATGGCTGTCTGATGCCAAAAGATCTGATGTGCGTTGCCCACTTCATTTTCCTGTTGTTTCATGTTAGAACCTTCCTCTCTGGCAACAAGAGATGCAAGGGACAGAAGACACCCTAAGATAATAGTGAAAAGGAGATGCAGGGACATACTTTTGGTGCATTTGACACTAAATGCCGTAATATGTTATAAAAGAAACTATTTGCTTTCAAATAAACAGCTTTCTCAATGGTAAAACTAGGACTTCAAAGCATGGAAAGCTGAGATAGGGGCTTAAATAAGAGGAACATAATTTTCTGTAAATACTTTATCATAGCTGTGAGCTTAAAACCTCAGAGATGCTGCTATAAGAAGGCAGAACATATTCTTCTGCATCAAAATAGCAGTTACTGTGTACAGCTTTTGCTTGCCTGCTTTTGTGGACAGGTATATTTTTTCGGGAAGGTCCTGCAAGAATCCCCAAACAGCACTGACTGTTTTGCACTCACCTGGCAAGGAAGCTGTGCAGAGGCAGTGAGTGTGGAGTTTGGAAGGAGCCCTGGAGAAAAAGAGCCCTGGAGAACAGGTGGATGAATGATCTTAGCAGGCTGGACTTAACTTCCTGCCTAAAAGTCTGGCAAGAGATCAGTGTCTTAAGAATAATAAACAAACAAATTGTCTGGTATAAACAATATTTTCACTGATCGTTTTCCCCAAGAAACATATTTACGGCAGTAAACGTATTTGCTGCAGTTTTTCCACAAGCTGTTTGGGTACCTTAGGAAAGGCAGATCCCTGTTCTTCCCTTTCCTGTGCCTTTAGGCATGCACAGCATGTCATCAGATATATTACTTTTATAAAACTCTGTCCAACCTGAACCTCCCCTGGTTTCAGTATTTCCCAGAATAATCTTTTCCATGATTTTACCAGGCTGAGTGAGACTGACAGGCCTGTAGTTTCCAGGGTCCTCCTCATTCTTTCACCGGCTTCCAGTCAGCTGGGACCTCTCCAGAATCCCATCGAAGATTTTGTCCTTGTACACAGATATTTTGTTACCAGAAATCAATTTGATTTCCAATGATTTCCAGGAACTTTAGAGTTCAGCTTTTCTCTATGTTTGACAGGAGCTGCCTTTTCTTGTTGCACATTTAAAGCTCTGAAGCTGTAGGGACAGCTGCGTGCCATCTCACATGGCCCCATAAAAATGATGTTACATCTTCTTGGAATGAGATAACTGCCCATATCACCTAAATGGATTCCTACCAGCTGAAAAAAGGCAATAATTGATGTTTTGCCGCCAGTCTCCTGATGCCTTTCAAACCTGGCAGAGACACCAAAAGTCCTCAGTCCTAGTGTCAGCATTTATATAATTTACAACATACATAAAATCAGCAGAGCATAGTGTCACATAACAAATGCTTTCTCTTAACAAGCTAAATGAGGATATGCAGCGGGATGCTGGGACAGGAGACCTCCTGCCTGTCCTACTGCCGGTGGCTGCCGCAGTGTTAACAACGCTCCACAGGCTGTGCTCATCTCCTAACAAGCACTCACTGCTGAGTGGCAAACCCGGACCAGGTGTTAGCAAACCCCTACCAGGTGTTGTCAAACCTCCACCAGGTGTTACCAACTGAATCAATGACAGCTCTGCTTTTTGTCTGCCTCGGCGTGCTGTGTGACCTTGGTGACAACTTGCGCCGCAGAAGGTGATTAAAATCACACCTGACCGAGCTACTGAGGTCACTGGGTCTATTTTCCGTCAGTCTGTCACCTGTTTTCATCACTACCAGCAATACTTGGGCCACTGATTGTACAAATTCTACTTGCTTTGTAATCTCAGACTGCCCAAGGGTACAACCATAGTAAAATTCAGCAGCAAATACACTTTTTCTACAGGAGAGCTGGAGGGGGAACCCACACTTTTCATCTCTTCAAGTCACTGTTCTGGGTGCAAGTGTAGTTTCCTCTCATTCTAGTCCTCAGTAGGACAAGCAGCAGCTGTGTTTGGAGACACAGGTCTCCTTGGCAGCTTGTGGTGGGAACAGCCCATCAGGCCACCAGTGGAAGAGAATTTCCTTCCTCTTTTTTTGAGACTGCTTCTCAACAGAGGCATGTGGGAAAGGGCACCTGCATGGTAACATCAGAGTTAAAGAAACAGTTAAAGGTCTTGGAGGGATGTTGGTGATGTGGTGCTTCGCTGTGGCCAGGATTTCTTCTTGCTCTGAAAAACTCTCCTTGAAGACTGTTTGGGAGGAAATTAATTCAGTGGCCCAGCACCCACAAACTCCAGTTGTTTGATGAGAAAGAAAAGGCTCTCCGTTGCTTAGGGGTGAAAACTAGACCAAGATATGTAAATGCTATCAAAAAAGAGAAGTTCTCTTCTGATTCTTGTCCACATTACACTTGTCCATGTACACAAATAAACAGCAGGCAGGGGTTATCCATTCCATTTTATGTTTATTATGAAAATGATTTTAACAAAAGTTTTATTACATGCTTCATTTTGAGCTCTGACGTAGCAAATCAAAGCTATTAATATACAGAGGCAAAAGGAAATGTATTTTCTTATAAGGTACATTTACAACAACATCTTCTACTATAAATCTGACAGAATTGTTAAAATATTGGTAAAGCTCAGCACTGTATTTTATTTTCTAAGTATCAAATTTTGTACAGTTATTCGCTATCCTTGCTCTAAACTATTATCGTACATTTCATATGGAAATACTGTTTGTACACAATTTACATTGGTAATAAAGCTTAGAAGTCCCAGCAGCATCTACAACAGTTTAGTTCAAAACGTCACCCTTGTGCAGTGATTTACAAGGAGCAAACTGGGGCAGAAACTAATATTACACTCCGTGTGTTTTGCCCCAAAATCTATTCTACCAGAAATTCCTGCTTAAACTGGTGATGGTCATGATGATAATGAGCTTTTTGCCTAAAAAATGCTCTATGAGCTGATCCAATATGAGGTTTTATCTCTTCCAGTAGGAGCAGAGAGATAACTTCCCTTGTCTTTTTACTATACTTGGGTGTCATCTAATGAATTCCCTTTTATTTTTATTTCTGAGCTTTGTGTAGCACTAACTTTAAAACACATATTCTTTATATATTATGAAAATGGTAAACACTTCAGAATGACACTTGATAGTCAGTTCTGTGGAACTGAACACGTTAAATTGCCCCAGAAAACTCTTCCTATGATGCCAGTGAGACTGAAGGAATAACAGGATCTATAATTTGGAAGGATAACCACCCCAGTCTCCTAAAGTACCTTTATAATCATCATGTTGAGTCTCTGCTGCTTTCAATGCAAATTAATGGCCTTTCTAAGTTATAAAACATAGAAAACAATATTTACAAAATAATTTTAATTAAAAAAAAGTAACAAAAACAAACTCTAAAAAAGATATTTTCACAATCATTAAAATAAAGTTTAATTATCAAAGCCACTTCTTTTTCTAGATATTGAGAAGTTCAGCTAAAATTGAATTGCAATTGTTGGTATAACTTGTTATCTCCACTTTCTGAATACAGATGGTTTAAATTATTACATCTAAAGGTACTTCTGTACATTTTACTCTTGTATATTACATATTAATTTTATAGATTAAAAGCTTTATGATGAAACAGAATAAATAAATGAAACAACAAACTGGAATTGTATATATTCAGATACTTAGAGAACAGTTTTTTGACACTGTTCATTTCCCAGTCTGTTTCTGTTCAGATGAGAGATGTTCTGATAAAACCTGAGACTTGTCTCTGAACCCAAGTCTCACTCTGAGGAATAAGCCCATAGTACCTTACAGAAATTTCACTGCTTCCATAAATTCTTATGGAAGACAAAAGTATTTTTTTTTCCCAAGTGCTTACAACAGTCTCTCGTTCTAGAAACCTATTTCATTAAAGTCTCAAAGTATTGAGAGTCTACAAGAAACTCCTCCAGTTACTACCATTCCTGTCAATCAGTGGTTTTAAATTAGGAAAAAATGCAACTACGTGAACTCATGACACAGATCCAGGGAACTGCGCGTGTCACTCATTCCCATCATCAGAAAATCACCGAGACCCCTGAGGTGGCTGACAAATTTGGCTTCAGCTGCTGAAGATTTCACTCCAGCTTCTTTTTGAAGAGCCCCAAAGGTATTCAGAGTCCCAGACATGGGAACTGTCACAGAGCAGGGAGGTTTTGCTGTCAAAGACCTGTCAGCAGATCCTGCAGAACAATCATCCCCCTGCTTTTTGCTCCTGAAGTTCCCAACCTGTTTTCTGCAAGATGAAAACTGGGTTGTTTATCGTTAAGACTGATCTGAGAAATCTGAATCTGTTGGACAGGCTTACAAAGGGCTGTGAGGTGGGGTTTGACTGTCCTTTTCGAATGGTGAACACTCATAAAGGATGTTTCTTGTTCGTGTGGCGTCATCCTCGTGTTCTGCTCACAGACAGAGGGGCCACAGGTGAGCTCTGCTCTTTCCAAACCAGCTGACAACTCAAGAATGTGGGCTCTGAAAACGTTGTGACCAGTCCAGTATTTATTTAAGCTAGTCTAAAACTAAACTAAACCTGGCTTTTTAAAGCTAGTTTTAAGGAAGCTTACTTACTTTTAAGTGAGCTTACCCTAGAATGAAGCCGATGTGTAGGAAAGATTAGTCTAACTCTTAAGTAGTCCTAACTTTATTCTGTGTGGGAGGCACAAAGAGGAAATGAATTCCTTTTGAAAAATTTGTCTTTAGGTCAAAATTTGATGTGTGATGGAGCTGAACGAAGACTGCAGCAGTTTTAAATCCACTTACAGGGAGCTAAATCTTCAGGCAGAATAAATTTTGCTATCGCAGGCAAGACGCAGGTGGCAACGTATCGAACACCAAATCCTGACGTTCCCTGCACTCAAATGACACACACAGACCTTGCCCTAAGTGCTTTCAAGGCACAACTCTGGGCTTAATTAGCAACCTTGGATTGTTGCAGGCTCCTGGACTGTGGCAGGAGGTGATTTGGTGGCCTGTGAGAATGTTTAGGGATGATTCACCACCACCTCACTAGAAATAAGTGCAGTGTTTAAAGCAGAGGAGGCTTAAAATGGTAAGTGCTGCGGGTGCAGCTTTTAAGCACACAAGGCATTTGCAAATGGAAAACAAGGAGCTCTGTTTGTGCCACAGAATTGGGCAATCACAAATGGGCACTTGTCCAGCCTTCCTGCAATAACACAAAAACATGTTGTTGCACCTCTCCTGCATACAATGTGTAATTCCATAAGAGCAGATGCAGGGCTGTATTTATTATGTTTAAATGCTCAAATTCTGTGCTGTACTGATTCTATCATTTCACAAAGCTGGTTTTCTTAAAGGCAGCCGCATTTCTCCTCGTGTGGTTTTTGATTCCCAAATGTTCCTAGGTCTTCTCCACAGAAGAAGACTTTCCTTGTTGTTGTACTGCTATTGTGTGACAGTGAAGGCATCCTACACCAATGCTAACAAATGAAGAGCTGAACTCACCTTCTATTTGGTGACTGCCAGTTTCTGTAACTGTAAATCTAGTATGGAATTCAAAGCATTTTTAACTTTATATACCACTTGTCATTACTTTTTTCACTAGAAATTGGCACATCCAGGAGCATTTCTAAGTAGAGCCGCAAACATTCAAACCTGACTCATTTTTCTAATTATGTCCAAACGTGTTGGTCATTGAGCAAAAAGTTTTAGGAAGTATTTTACTAAACTCACCATACAGCAACAGGTTCCAGAGTTTGCTCACTGAAGTCTGAAATTCTAAAGGCCACTGTAAATAATTCACCAAATGAGGGAGTTAATTTTCTCCATGTTTTTCATATTTTTCCTTCATATCTTTCAGTAGAATGGCTGCAATCCTGACCCATTCTAATGTATCTTGATAATACTCTGAATAACCTGTCAGACTTTGAAGCACTGTTTGGCTAAAGTAGTTTTTTTAGCTATACACTCCTACATAATTTGAGTACCTAAAAACTGTTTGCTTTTTCTTTTTTTTTTTTCCTAAAAATAATTACTGAGAAGGGAAAAAATACATGAAACTTTTTTTCTCGTCGTTGTTCCAGACACACAGTGAATGTAGGACTGATAAGAATGTCTTCTTAGAAAATCCCCTTTTCGTAACTCGGGGTGAATAATAAATAAAAGTAGTTACAACATCCTCACAAAAAGTTTAGGTTTAACAGCCTTTAACAAAGGATTTTTATGGAGAAATTATATTTGGAAATGAGGGTTAATGTAGGTATTAAAGAGAAAGCCCATCAAAGACCTAAGATCCATGAGTGGAAAAAAATGAGTTGTCAGTTCAGGCTGTCTCTGAAGACTCCAACTCCTCTGCATATTGAAAGAGATTGTCCCAGAGGAAACCATTATCCAGTATTATAAAACTCCAAAAGGCTTCAGTTCGGTGTCAATAGAAGTGACAAGCACTTGGAGAAGTCATTTAATCATCTACACAAAGTTACATATAGATATGAGTAAATAGGGTGTGTGGGAGTAAAGATTTAAGCATGAATAATATTTACAGTAACTAGAGATAACATTACTAATGTACCCACAAATAGAAGTATATATTTATATATTTATATATTGTACTTAATTAGATGCTCTCTTAATGGAAAGAAAAACAAGACTGCCAGTGTGGTTGCTGTTCATTTCTCACATATCCTATTGGAAATGCCTTTAAAGGGACCCACTGGTGCACGGAAATCCAGAGCTAAATCTGTTTCAATCAAATAATTGACAGTGGCAAACCTCTGAAGAAGTTTAGAAGAGGACAGATAAAAACATTAGGACATTAGGGCATGGGACTCAATCTCATGTAGTTCATAAAAAAAAATTATACATATGTTTCTTTTTTTTTCTCTTTTTTTCCCTTTTTGATTTCTACTTGGACAGAGGTTCCACCAAGCCACAACTGAGAAATAACAAAATTTAGGTTTTTTTTTTGTTTTCTTCCAAAGATTCAAATATAAACTTCAAGTGCAATTCAAAAATCCAAATATTATTTATACTACATACTTCTCTCTACAACAGAACTTATCTGCAGGTAGTTTAATCACATTTGAATAGATTCCCCCTTTCTTTGACAAAAGTTATTGTTGATGGAAAAATAAAAAGCTCGAAAGAATATTTTCTACATCATGAAATTTCAAATGGGGAGTGAGGATACACTAGTGCAGACACAAATTCAGATCTTCAACAAGATGCACTCAGGGATGCACTTTTTTCTTTTTTTGGTAGTAAAAATCCCGTTCAAAACACTGACTTTTAACAATTATAAAACATTATAGGCGTTCTTCCATTTACAACTGAGAACAAAGACTGCAAAAAAGAGCCTTCAAGTTAGCAAATGTTTCTACTATGGAGGAAGGATGATATTTGACAGGAATGCAAAGTAACCAAAAATTGAGTACCGCTGGACTACTTGTATGGTCGTAGAAATCTGGACACTTTGGATCGCAGCAGCTTTATAAATGATCTTGGGAACATTTCTTTTGACTCTTGTGCTGTGTACTTGAAATAGTTTTGGGGGTGTGCCAGTACATCAAAGAGAGCTTTAATCAGTTTCTTGTCCTGTGGAAGACAAAATATATATACATATATATATATGTATGTTAGATAAAAGTAGAGTTTGGATTTAGTGTCTGCACAGGTTTCAAAACTAAAGAACAACAATCAGATTTATCTTGCAACACTTGAGTCTGGGTGAAGCAGAGTAAGGAAACTGCTCCATGTTGCTGTTGTGTTTTATATTGATTAGTCTGTCTACCATTAGCCTTCCTGGCAGGTCTTGTATCAAGAGAGACAAAGTTAATCACAGCCTTGCTGCAGTACCTTTGGAAAGCTGGACAGCTCGCAATGCTCCATATTATGTCTTGTTGAGGCAGGACAGTGATTTAGGTAAACACATTTTTTAATGCATGGAAAACTTAATGACTCATTTAAACATTCAAATGCCAGGCTGAGGCTGGCAAAGGCTCTTCAAACGATGGGCTCTTCATTCCTGGCTGACTAATTTTTCTAACATACAATCTTATTAATCACATTAGCACACATTTAATTCAGTTCCCGATTCCACAAAGGACTGAGCTGAGCTACTGGTTTTGTGCTGCTTCAAATACCAGCATAAACCTCAGAAGACAGAGAACTGAATTTGGGGTCACACTTGAGCTTTAAATATAATGACCCTCTCAATGTAATAAGACCCTCTCAAAGTCATAAGATCCTATCGAGGTAATAAGGACTATTTTGGGAAAATACTCAGTGGAAGGAGTTATTGGTTGGCCTCAGATAAAGCAGAAATTTCTCACCTTTAGAATTTCCTGATGATTTTCTGACGCATATAATCGGCCATCTCGAACAATGTCTTCTATTAGTTGTTGGTAATCCTCTGAAAAATAAAGATCACTTGAGTGACTGTTTGGGACATCCTTTGGGAGGATAACAGCCAGAAATTAGACCTCCTCTTGAAGACAGTGCTGAGAAATTTCATATCTAGTAAGTTATTCACTGTCTCTCAGGTTGCTTTAGTCTAAATTTAAAAAAAACCTTAAAATTCTCTACTGCTTTAGAACAGTAATTTTGAATTATTCCTATAAATACTAACATCCTCAAAATCCTACTCCATCCCGATAATTATTTGCATTCTGGAGACGAAGAAACAGGACCAGGGATAAAAAATAACTGACAAAGGTTATATATAATAATATATATATTATTTCAGTAAGTCTTTATTGTTTCAGTAAGTCTTTACTACTAGAAGTAATTAAATGGACTAAAAATGAGTTACATCAAGTTTTTCCTCATTCTTCTCTCCCTGTAAGCAGTGTAAGAGAGATTCTTGAGGACAGTTTTCTGTAATTCAGATGTAACAAAAAGATGGAAAACAATTCCATTCTCACCATCATAAGTCACGTAGGGGACCTGAAATCCTTTGCCACTGTTTCCTTCATTTGACTTGAACTGAATCCAGAGCTTCCTTGATCTTGAGGTAAATGCAATAGGTCTCTCATAAGTCTGACATGTTTCATATGTGGTAATTGAAGTGGGAGAAGCTGGAAATAAATGACGTTCTTTATAAAATGATTTTTTTGCACCCTTCCTCACCTAGGGGTCAGAAATGTCAAGCTGACAGGACACTTCTCAAGCTGACAAGTTTTTTGTGATAGAATGGGTGTAGTCTTTATCTGCCTATAAGGAGAAGTAGGTTTTTCCACAAAGGTAATGGGAGTCCCACAGCAAGAAGCTTAACGAGACGGTGAGGGATAATTTCTGACATTTATAAAGTTACTACGGATATTAGTTATTTTGTTTACTACTCTAGCATTGAATTCCAGAGCTCCCATATGCTTGTCCCAGACAGGTAAGAACAAGTGTGCTGCACACAGACTCTCAAGGATAAGAAGTTATGAAATAACTCTAGAAAATAAAATACACCATTTTAGTGAGTAAAATACACTGCTTTGAACAAAGCTCCATATAAACAATTGCCACTGAGGTTTGGTGCTTCTTGCAGATTCAGTGACAGATCACCAGAAGGAAGCCTGCATCCTCCATGTGAAAGAGGAGAGCATCTCACTGGTGTCTTAACTCCACATAAAACTGGGAAAACTTTGGATTTCTTGAGGGTGTCAGTGGTACCAAGCCACTGCCTGGATTTAGCAATAACTTCAGTGTATGTGTATTTACAGAGGGTGAGAGGACAAGCTGTACAGATTACAGAAGATGGCTCTCCCAGGATAATTTAGCATGGCTTGTTGGCTTCTGGAGGGGCAGGGATTTACCCCTCGTGATAACTGGGCCAGACAGAAGCCCATTACCTGCTTTGTGATTCAGACAAGAAACCTGAATAATTAGTATCAATCACTGTTAACTGTTACTGGTGGTGTTCTGTTCTAACTTGCTGAGCCCCTTCATTCCACAATCCTTTTAGAAACACCAGCTACACGAAGACAGTCACCCTTTCAAGTATGAACTTTCCAATCCAATCAGTTTGCAATAAATACAACCCATGTCTGGCAACTCACCACTTTTCCTCATTACTAAAACATCACCACATTCATCTTCGATGGGGAGGAATATCTCAGGTACTACAATGAGTATCCTCCTCTTTGGGGGTGGGTTTATATTCCAAATGCATTCGACATTAGCTGGGTAGTCTCCAGGATAATTGGGTGATTCAATGTAGCCAGTATAGTCCCCAAGTTCTCCTCCACAGTGCTGGTCTGTGGAGAAACAGAAATAATTAGCATTTGTGTTAGCTGATCAGCTAATCTGAGGTGTTTTTCTAGATCTGTCAAGAGCAAGTCTAAACTCCTCCTTGTGGCTTTAGAAAGACAGGAGGAAAAGCCTTTAGGGAAGGCCTTTAAAGGATTTCCAACTGATTTGCAAAAGCTTAATCTCAGGTGCATAAACTGATTTAATAGTTCATTCAGGCTGCTTTAACATTTCATTGAGAAGCACAGGTAGGTAACCATGATCCAGCTGTGGAGTTACTCACACAGTGGTCACCATGGAGACTGTGCTGACATGCACCTGGTTTAACTTCACTTCTTTTTTAACCTGATTTAGCTGAATGAGCATGATCTTGATCACAGATCTGCCTTGTTTCATCTCAGATTAAACCAGTCTGTAAAGAAACTCCATTAATGGATCAGTTTTTCTTCCTAAGTTTTCAAAACTCCTATTGAATTTGGCACAAGTCACTTAAGCTTGATCTCTCCAGGCCTACTCATCCACATAAAACTAGATATATGTTTAAATATTTTGCTTAATCCAACCCTCAAAGATTATGCAAGGTCAGAAACTGGCTTGAAAACAGGGAGTATCTAAGACAGCAAAGTAACAAGGATGGTTTTATTTTACAGGAGAATCATCAAACTTCTTCAAATTCCTTACAAATATGTAATTTACTCCAATTTCATTAGGAATTATGAAGGGTTAGACACATCTCACATATTCAGAATAAAAACTTATAATAGATTTGTACATGAACAGTTAGTTTAGATGACATTGCTTAGTTATTATAGAGACATTGTCTTAAATTGGCATGGTAGAGATGGAAACAAAAGCTTGCCTAAAAGAATCAGTCATTCACAAAAGATCAAATAAAACTGCACTGAAATCCTTGGGGAGATTTAAAATGGTAATTGAAGGTAGGAGGCCGAGTACTGCAAAAAGGCCTGCAGGATCTCTCTGTCATAAGTGATTACCTGGCAGCTGCAGTATGCAGGACCAGCCCTGCTAATATTTTATAATTATTATAAAATGGCAGTAACTCTGAGAGAAGATCTTGTGCTCTGCAGTCACACAGAAATATGCATCACTGTTAGACAACCTCCAGGATCGGGGAAACTAAAGGCTCTGTAGGTTTAACTTGTAGCTGGTACTCTGTGAAACCACATTAAACCTAAAGCACTCCCATGGATCAAAGGGTACTTTTCCTATTTTTTTTCTCATCGTTTTCCCAATTCTTACTATTCCCTCTGGCAGTAGACACATGCTAACTAGGAAATACAGAATTGAAGTCCAGCCTTTGAGATGGAGCCTTCGAGCTGCAGTTCAGAGCCGAAGCCATGCTTTAGGTCACAACCAATATCAATGTGACTTACTCTTGCAGTGTGTAACATTAGTGGAGCCATCAAAATCCGTACTGGTGTTCCCAGGGCAGGTGATGCAGTAGTTCTGCCCAAACTCAGGCTGGTAGGTCCCCGCAGGGCATCGGATGCATCTGTGTGTGGTGGAGTTGTAGTAGTGCCCAGGAGAACAGTGAACTGCAGGGTAGGAGGTGTATTATTTTCAGAAAGGAGCAATTTCAGTGCAAAGAGAACTTTCTACCCTGGACATACCTCAGGATCCCTGTTCTGCAATATTTATTAGGCCGTAAAAGGCAGAAAAGACATCAGCTTCCTGCATTTTCCAGTACAAAGGACCTTCCAACTACAATCCCAAGACTAGAGCTAAGCCCTGATGAACTAGTAGTGTGTGCTACACATCTCTCACTGTTTCCTATGAATTTATAATAAATGGAAGCTGATGCAGACCCACCTCAACAACAAAAATGACTTTCACAATAGCAGGAGAGAGGTTTCCATTTGTGTCTGTTTGCATGTCATTCCAGTAACTAAACCAAAATGCATTTGGGCAGATTCCTTCTTTAGCACTGGCACTGCAAGTTGACATTATAGAACACAGAACGTGTTGCACCTTTACAGTTTCTGCCTGGCCCATTAATAACCAATCCTTAGCTTCATATAACTTCTGTAGTGTTTAGTTTTCCTGATCTGATACATAAAAATATACAAGATATGGAAGCTAAAGCATTGTCTAATGCAAGTTTATTTCTTGCCATACAGTGGGGCTGATTCACTTACCAGTTTCAGTGCTGACCCTGCACCTGCCTGTGGTAAATCCCAAAGAAAACCATAAAGCCTGCTCAGCCTGTGCAATCTCAGGAGACCACTCCTACTTTATAGATTTCTTGATTTAATTTAATCATGTGCCCGTGCAGCGACAATGTTTGTTCTGGAGCCTTCAAAAACCCCTCGGCACTGAAGATTATAAACCAGAGGGCAAGAAAGGGAGAACATGAATTGTGGAAAAAATTTAAATTCACCTTTGGTTTCACAGTCTTGGAAGGAAACAGCACCTTCATATTTGGTCACAAGCCCACCACCACATGGAAAGCAGAGGGTCCTCCCTGGTTCAGGCTGGTAGGTACCCAGAGGACAGACTGTGCAAGGTTTAAAACCATCTGAGGAGTAGTGCCCAGGAGAACACTGCCCTAGAAAGTGAAAATGGTCACCTGTATTAGTGTGTTGACTTTTCTGGACAAAGTATAAAACCCACTAGCAGTCAGCAAGGCTTCCTTCAACTTAAACATGTGACATCAAGGCAGCTGCACATCAAATTCTAATCTTACCTGCTGGTTTTGTATTGTTCCTGTAACTGCTTCCTAAAAACTCCACCAGGAAACACAATTAGCTTCTGAATATGCTTTTTGGCAAATATGTCTCTGTTTGGTTTTTTTGTTTTTAATTAAGATTTTGTTAGAATACATAGTACTTACACCAAGTCTTTTGTCTGAGTATTTCAAAGCACTTTGTCAGCTGTTGTGACACAGACCTCAGAGAAATATCATGATGTTACCAGTTTGAAGACAATTTTCCTGTTGTTTTTAGTAGCAAAACTGATCTACGTGCTCTGGTCCAGCTGGTTACTGGACTTTAACATGAAGGCAGATAAAGAAGAGTGGATTTGGATCTGGATTTTGGTCTGAAAATTAAGTACTTGTGAAGGCTTACAGACATCTTGTGAAAGAAGAGGTACAGTTTGACTTTAATAGTGCTTTCAGCACCAATACATCTCACTCCTTACCTTTATGTAAGAATGCAGTAACTTGTATTGAAATTCTGGATTGAAATTGCCAGCAAAACAGATCTGAGGTGATTTCCCCGAGGAATGCCCCAAAATGACTAGGTTGACTAAATCATGTTTTGGCCTCATATCTACACGGATCTCATGAAAATTAAGTATCACAACGTGTGTACTGGGTTTGAGTGGCCAGGATTTGGTAGCAAGGGGGCTACAGGGTGGCTTCTGTGAGAAGGTGCCAGCCTTCTTTTTGTTGTTGTGCAGAACAATAATTCAAATGCAAGCCTTGAAACAAAAGTCTTTTTCCTCTAGTCGTTGTGCTGCTTTTGTCAGTATTCTATAATCAACCTTTATAAATTCAGATTTTATTTTGATAAGTTATTCTTGTGGGATTTTGGATAAACACATATCAACAGAGCAAAAATGCACAGGCATTTCAGGATTTTTCCTTTGATAGTTCCTTCATACAGTAAATCAGCAAAATCCATCATATGTTTGAACTGGAGACACCAGTTATTTTTTATTCAGTGGGAAAACCCAGCAGTTTCTCAAGTGACATTCATCATGTGTTCACTTTAGATATCCTGGGAGAAAGCATTAATGTAAATTACATGGATGAGTTTTAAAGTAGCAGATAGGACAGGTTCATTTCAAAGTCAGATAATGTATCTGCTATAAACTAGATTTTGTTCATCTGTAATGAAATAAGGTAAAGAAAATAAATTAACAGTCGTGTCTTAAAACCTTATATTGAACAAGTTACAGTAGGAGCACCAGGTATTAGCATCACTGTAATTTGGTTTATATCTCATGAAGTTGAGTCAGAGATGCTACATCACTTGCCAAAAGCTGCAGTGCCTTCAAGCAGCGCTGAAACTTTGCAGTCATTAGTTCTGAGTCTGGGTCACAGATCCCTGCAGCACAACTATCTCAAAATTGTAACTGCTGCTAATTAGAGCAGGTAAACTGCATCTCATGTAAAACATGAAACCAGCAGGTTCATTAGACTCACCAATACCAGTCCAAAGTAATCCATCCCTTTGGCTCCCAATACACCTGACAGGTCCTTACAAGCTGAGGTATGTCCAGATTCCATACCTGACTCAAAGCACAGTGCCCTGCTTGGCTTGCTCATTTCCATACCACAGCTCACACTGCTGTGGCAGGTCCCATCTTCTTGTCAGCAGTGTCAGAGGATGGAACAAGCCCAAACATTCTTTGCAGTGCTTGTAAGTGCACAGAGGTGTCTTCTGTTACCTTCACAAGACAGGAGTGTGGAAGGCTCCCCCCTCGTTTAGCCCCCACACCTCAAGGAGGTGTGGCAACACTTAATACCTTTAGAATCAAATGAAACTTGCCTCCACATTCTGACACATTCCGGGCTCCTGCTACTCCCTGTCCATCGTTACTTGGGCAAGGCTCACAGGTAAGTTGACCTTCTGTGTCCTGGTATGTTCCTGGGGAGCAGGGAACGCACTGATTGTGTTCTCCGCTATAAAAGGTGCCCGTGCTGCAGGTAACTGAGGAGACAAAAGGGGAATCTACATAAGGACTTTCATTGTCATCACATTACTTGCCTTTATATCAAAACATTTTAGAGAAGATGGATCTCTTTGGCCCAATTATTATAGTGGGGTATGTTCTGCATACGTTAGTGCAGGATCCTCACTTAGTGCAAGCAGACCCATCCCCACTGTGGTCGATTTACATCAGGACAAGGTCCTTCTTCTGTTGTTTAAACTATTAAATGGCATTGTGCTGCCCTGAAGTGTTCATCACACAGATGTTAATAAAGCTGATGCAGTCTTAAAACAGTATACTGCAGTTTATTAAAACAGTTGCACAATGTGTGGGAAGCAATTTTTTTTTTTTTTACTTTTACTTTACACCAGGTGCATTTATGTGATGGTTTTATGTCTCCTGAGATCAGTTCTAGAGATTTCTCCTAGGGTAATGTATCCCATGTAAAAATTTATGTCTCTTGACACTCAAATACCCCAACTGTAAAGTGTTTTAGACACAGATATGAACACAGATGCTTTTCCTGCTGCAACAGGGCACATAACTGCATGAAACATTTTGCTCTGCTGGATAGAGGTGGTTGAAATGCAGGGGTTTCTAGACACTAATAGCAACAGTCTTTCAAATACAGCTTCTAAATCACTGTTCCCATATGATGAAAACAACCTCACTGGCAGCACCTATCAGATCTGCACTTCTTTCTGCCTGTAAATCACTTGGTGATTTAAAAAGCTGGAAAAAGAGATATGCTGATAAAAAGCTGGAAAAATAGATATGCTGATTTTGAAAAGATGTCTGTAAGTGATTAGAAAGCCTGCAGTGCTGAGAACTGCCCTTAGTAAGTTTGCACTAGCACACTGCCCCCAGCAAAGCACTAGAGCCTGGTAACATGGGAAAAGGCTTAAAGACATCAGGTATTGTATGTAAAGTTAAAACAGGTTTCTATAGTTTATTTTTTAACGGACCTCTTGGGCATTAAATATAAATATATCCATGGGTCACGGATTATTTGGTGGTGAGGAGAGAGAGGAGATATGAAAGTAAATAAATAGCACCTAGGCAAACACCATCTTATTGTTTTACAGCATTGTAATTGTGTTTTCATAAGATGCTGGGAGCAACTGGGAACTAACTGCCAACACTGCCTTGTGGCAGGTTTTGCTACCTGCCATGGGAATGTATCCATATATATGCTTTTGTTTTCCTGCAACCCTCCAATGAATTCCCTTCAAAGCCTTATGAACCATCAGTGGTCCATGCACATATGCTGAGTTAGATTGATCTAAATCGTTATCTCAGAGATTTCCTCCCTGCTTCACCATGGAAAAGGTAATTTTGGGTGGCTTGTTATGGGGGATATGGCTGAATATTCGAGTTGTCTGCACTTACCACATTTTCCATCCTGCAGTACTTGCCCTGTACTGCAAGCCTCGTGCCCCTCAGTAGCTTTAGCTGGCTTCTGAGCCACTTCATACTCTGTCCCAGAAAACTGAATGTAAAATTGCTGTTTATTAATAGATTTCCTCAATGTTTTGATTGCAGTTTGCAGCTTCTGCTCCATCCTTTTCCGAACACAGTCAATGTTACAGGTGTCTAGATGGGAAATGATAACAAAACTAGAAGCAATTGAGATTCATGTTTAAAAGAGGTGCTTAACAAAGAGCTCAGCCTGCGTTGCACTGGGACACCTCTGTCTGCTTCACTGTCTTCTCCACATAAACTGAAGCAGCAGCTCACTGGATTCAAGATCAGGCCTCTCAGAGGGACAAGTCAGTGCACTGAGGTCCATCACACAGTTTCATGACCTGCCAAGGGCACTCTGAGTGCTCATAGCTTGTCTCTAGCATTGAGGTTATACTGAGTGCACAGGGGGGAGGGCTGGAGGGCTGCAGGAAGCATTCAGACCCCCCTGAGAATTCTGGTGCAGTCCAGGATTCCAGTTTGCTTCTAAGTTTGTGTTCCATCATTACTAATGACACAAAGCAGTTTGTAACGTTTGCAAGCACTGTTTTGCTTTCCAAAAACCTTCCTTGGTAAAGGTTAATTAAGATGTCTGGCAGAGTTAAGCATACATAAAACACACTTACTTAAATACACATATGAACACAACACAGAGGATACATGGAGTTACACAGTCCCCAGGGCTTGAACATGCTTGAACCAGATGCTATAACAAGATGCCATTAACATGCTCAGCTGACCCTTCCAGCCCACACCTCCCCTCAGCACTGCTTTGCCACCATCCTATCTATGAATTCAGCAAGGCTGCCACTGGTAATTTACTTCCCAACCTGGTAATTTACTTTCCAACCTGCTCTTGTTTTGCTGGTTTGGCCACAGCTTTGTCTCCCAGGCACGATACTGGCTGTCCCTGAGCTCCTGATAAGTTGAGGATAATAAAACACATGTGATGGCAAGCCAAGTGGGAGGATGAGGAGCATCAGAAGAGATGCAGATTAAAGCTGGGTGTGAATAATTCACCAGGCATTTGGAGAAGGAATCAGAGCAAGACTTCTACTATCAATACAGAAGTGTTTGCTCCTCCAGTGCTGGCCTTCCTTCAAACTTCCCTTCTGCAAACACTGCAGGAAGCTTCCTGCCAGTGATCCCTCACCTTGTGCCTCCTGTGGACTTTGCTCATGGGGGCAAATTTGCAACCCCACTTCCAGTCTGCCACCACTAATGTTTCTGAATTTTCTCTGCCCATGCAGAGAGTTAGTTGAACAGGAGTTCTTGCCACTTCCCTGACCAAAATACCTCAGTGGCAAAAGGAAAGGTACTTTCAGGCACATTTACTGCTTGAATCACTTTGGCTAGTGAGGTGCTCCCTCAAGGCTGAGGAATCTGCCTTTGAGGGCTGACATATTTACAGAATTCAGTCCACATTTTCTTTGGCTGGAATTTGTAACATAATATTCCATCTCAGTAACGTGAAACAATTATTTTTCTTCCTGAAGACTGTTATGAAAACATGATTTTTCCAGCGGTGTGATAGAAGTGTTTGAACCTCAGACTGAAGTTTCAGCAACTTACATTTTGGAGGATATTTTTATCATGGTTGTTGCAGAACTTCTACCTAATCTTTACATTCCCTGTGCATCTATTAGCACTTCTGCTGTTCAAGGAAATCAGACTGAATTAAAGTACACGACTTAAGGCTTTGAAGGAATTTTGCTGCTGGTTTAATCTTTGTTCCTTTGGCTTAATTTCATACCTGATTCTTTTCAATTAAATCTCTGAACCTCTGAGTTAGGAAAGGCTGTGGAATGAGCCTTGTGCTGAAAGATTTGCACGGCAGCTTGGTGAAACAGCATCAAAGAGATTTTAACAACATGCTGAGGAACTAAATACTGATTTCTCTCCACAGACTGATCTTTCACAAACCTGAGACTTCTTCTGACTTCATCTCCACTTCAAACTCTGCAGTGATATGGGACACTTCTTTGGACGGGGACTTGCGGCCTCGGCGTTTTTTCTTGGAGGAATCGCACTTGAGGTTCACAAAGGTCACCTGGCAGTTGTCTGTGCAAGGGAATTGGCCTCCTTTGCATGAGAGAAGCAACACAGAGAAGAAATCAAGTGGCAAAGCAGCAAGTGACAGGCTAGCAAGCAATATCTGGGTTATCATGAATGTAGTGATTTCACATGTCACATGTGGTGACACCCCTCCTCCTCTGTGCAGTATGAAAGGTTATGAAAATATATTGGAAGGTTTCATCTGAGCAGCAATCACAGATTGTTGTAGGTGATGGACCTTCCAGGTCAGGGAGGAATCTGTAGTGCTCAAGCCACCAGAAGGAATTCATTCCCAGAGTGTGGCTGTATGATATCATCTTCCTCTTAGACCCTGAAGTTCAGGTGACATAACAAACACAAGGCAAAGCAAGCAAACGCATCCAAGAAATCCATTCCCGTGGTGACTGTATGGACCAAAAAAACCCAACTTCTGTGACTTCAAAAATGAGTCTGGTAATCACACCTTATGCAGAGAAAGGAACACATAAAGACAGTGTAATACATAAGCATCTCGATGACTGAGACTTGTTTTAAGTCAATACTTGCAAAATTAGGGACATTGTCTGGATTTCAGGGTAAAGAGAAAATGAGTCTAAATTTTAAAAATAAAATATTTAAACCATTGACTTTTTTTTAAAGAGCTATTTTTTCTCTGTTCATGGCTCATATATGACTGCTCACTACTGGCAAAAGTGGTGGTAAGCCAAATTCACAGCAGAAAATATATCACCAACAGGTGTTTGGTGTAAGCTGCTAAATTGCTTTAACAATATAAGCTGTTGCAATTACACAAATATAATGTATTAAAATCCACAAAACATTCAGCATTAATATTAAATTTAAATGAACTCCAAACACTTGAAGCTGTGGAAATGCACAGCAATGACACACAAACACTCTTTATTTGTCCCTGTCGTGGCATCAAAGGGATGTAGGGCAAGAAATAAATGTCTCAAGGATCTGTTAAATATATAACTTCTAAAACCTCTTTTTTTTCCATCTTAAAAGTGGTGTTCAAAACTAGTAACAATAAAACACATACCTAGTCAGACAAGTTTTGAAAACATTTGATTACTTCAATTCATCGTGACACAAACTTTTTTAATGTCACGTTTTTTTATAATTGCATCTAAATCTTCTAAATATTTTTCTAACATCGTAAGTACTCACTGCATCACAAAAAGAGATTAAAGCTGTGTAACATCAGATTTTGGTAGTAACTTTCCTGCTTAGGGGTTGTCTTTGCTGCTACAATAGGACACTAATCCAGCATAGAGCAAATAAATAATAGCTTTTGTTTCATTTTAGAAACTTCATTTGGGAAAACTAAATCACACAAACTGACATTGTTTCATGTAATTTTGCATTAGTTATAGCTTTTTGTCTCAGGATATTTCTGCCATTATCAAGGCCAGGAGAAGGATCAGCTCAATTCCAAACTCGTGGACTTCTGAACAAAGATTTTTCAGAGCAACTGGTGATGTTTTCAGCACTGTTAGATCCAAACCCAAGGCACTGAGAATCTTGGCCTGAGCTTAAATTCAGATCCAAATATGAAAACCATTTCTTTTTTTTCTGTCACAGAGTGAAAACAAAATATGCAAACAAACAAAAAAATTTACATGCTGAAGAAACCACACACCTGAAACAGGCTGCTTCCCAGAATCTTTTGGTTTTTCTTTGCTGCGAGGCCGTAAATGGCATTTTGCATCTTTGATTTTAAAACGAGCTTTCTGCTTGATTGGAGGGGCTAATGAATCTGTTGATGTAAAGTGGGAAAAAAAAAAAGCTATCATTTGGGATGCAGAGGAAATGAAGTCTGGAACTTGCTTTTAAAAACAGGCTCAAAAGCCTTCCTGTGACATGGAAAAGAGACAGCCCAAAAGTTACACACCTTGTACAAAGGGATGCATCTCCACAAGTTCATTTTTTCACAGAAGCACATACCCTTAAGCCCAGAGAGATCAAGGAATCTGCCGGTATCACACATGCCCTGAACATACACCTCCCCTCCAGCAGGCCTGCACAGCTCATTGGATTTTGAGTGAATTTATTTTACTATGAAAAAGATTAATTCCTACCTTCCCAACTCTCTGTCTGTGACTTGCCATGTCACTTGGCTGCAGTTCTGTTAATGCCAACCAGGAATAAGATTAATTTAGTGGCAGTTGAAAACCATCCAAAGAAAACACCTTTATCTGACTGCAGTCTATGGCTTGCAACCTTGATTTTTCAGCTTTAAATCCAAGCCTTGTTTTAAAGGCTTTTAGAACCAGGACTGTAGAGGCAGCCTGCCCCTGTGCCACAGGTAGAAACATGTTACCTCCCTCTACAGTATTGTACCTCCTAACACATTTCAAATACTTGGTTAGAGAACTGGCAGAACTGGAGAGAAGCACAGCAGGTATATATGTAAAGTGGGCTGACAATTCCCACTGCTGGATGTTGTTTCAGCTGCTTCTAATTTTGCCAGACTTAAACTTTTTTTTTTTTTTTTTTTTAAATGCTGAGTATCAGCTTTCATAAACAATTTGAAATCACAGAATGGAATATGCTGAGTTGGAAGGGACCCCCAGGGAATCATCGAGGCCAACTCTTAGGCCTGCACAGGACCATCCCAAATGTCTCTGCAAAAATAATCCTGCCATTTCTGAGGAAAAGATGAATGAAACACAGTGTTTTATCATACAAGTCTCATAACCTTTTTATTGGCAATCCCCAGCAGGAGGATCTGTGGTCCTATGGAAGGGCTTTGCAGGTGAGGGCCAGGACCCACCCTGGCCTTCTGCTCTTGAGCTCCTGATGGGTCCCTCTGGCTCACTTGCCAGTGAAGAAATCCCATTTTGATATGCTTGCTATTGCCTGGCTGGACTATGGAAAGCCAATGATTCTAAATATTTCTCCTTACTGGATATATCTCAAACCTCCACCACTCCTACACTGACCTCCCAACACAACGCTGCACTGGAGGGCACCTCAGCACCCTCCAGCCCTCAAGGAGAGCTGCAGAAAAGTGAGTGTGTGCTCACTGATATTGTGGTAGTTTTGGTCACCACAGTATAAAAAGGATATTAAACTCTCAGAGAGTGTCCAAAGGAGGGCAATGAAGATGGGGAAGGGCCTTGATGGGAAACTGTGTGAGGACACTGAGGGCACTTGGTGTGTTCAGCTGGAGAAGAGGAGACTGAGGGGAGACCTCAGTGCAGTTCCAATTCCTGGGCAGGGGCAGAGGAGGGGCAGGGACTGAGCTCTGCTCTGGGGGACCAGGGACAGCACCCAGGGAATGGCTGGAGCTGTGTCAGGGCAGGCTCAGGTTGGATCTCAGGAAAAGGTTCTTCCCCCAGAGGGTGGTTGGGCACTGCCCAGGCTCCCCAGGGCAGTGGGCACAGCCCCAAGGCTGCCAGAGCTCCAGGAGGGTTTGAAATATACTCGGGGCACAGGGTGGAACTCCTGGGAATGGTCCTGTGCAGGGCTGAGGGTTGGACTGGATGATCCTTGTGGGTCCCTTCCAACTCGGAATATTCTGTGATTCTGTGATGAAACACCAGCCACCTTAATCCTGGCCTTGTGTAAGTGAGAGCTCTACGTCCTGCCACTCCCAAGCGGTCTGGGGGACATCCATCACCTTCCTCTGAGGCTCCAAGGCCCAGGAGAGCAGGACAGCACCTACCTGGGCAGCTGGGCAGGGTGGTGTTGCGCTTTGGCTGAGCCTTGCCTTGCTGGACGGGGACTCCACAGCTGAGGGTGTAGCTGTTCTCCGAATCTGAGGGGCAGAACACACAGTCAGCACAGGGGGCAACAGCCTCACAGAGCATCCTCTCCTATTAACGTTTAGTGCCTGAAAAAACTTCCCAATGCCACCAAATGAAGAGACATTTTGAGTGCTGAACTCAGATTTTGAAAGGCTGAAATAATTTGCCAAAGGCTGCTGCTTCACAGCGTTGACTTCAAGTTTTGCTTCTTCCAGCACTGAAATGTTACGTTTTATAAATGATTTGGCACGAGGTTAACTGTACGTAATTCCACAGTGCACAAGTAGAAAATATTTCGTGTTTGTCCATGGCAGAGTCTTTCTGCTTTGATCATCCTTATAATTTAGAAAATAAACCACGTATTTTCACAATAATTTTAGCTTCAGGCTCTGACAGAATTTATTGGCAGAAACAAAAATAATACACTTAGAACCATAACAGGGTTTACATATTGCACAGATCAAACTGTGTACTGCTGCTTACAAATTAGATGAATGCACAGCTCCAGTAATCTCTGCTAAACTGTAAATAAAGAGTGAACAGCTCTACTGCATATCATGCCAGGACTAACATGAAAAGAGACATTCAAAAATAATCCTGTGCCAGAATATCTATGAAAAAGCAATAGCAACACCCCCACCCCCCCTGCCCTGCCCTAAAAAACTGTGTAGATGCAAACTACCTGTAGCAAATGATTAAAAAAAAGAAAATGAGGGGGGAGGAAGACTCTATTCAAGTTGAAAAATACGGTACTAAAAAGCAGCAGGAATTCACTGAAATCCATTTTTCCCTTCCCTTTTGACATAGGAATTCAATATGTTGCAATTTTTCGTGTGCACCATCCTGGTTAAGGTGGATGTGTCTCTCAGGTTTTTGTTAGAAATTTCCCACCCCCGCAAATGACACCTCAAATTAAACAATGAAGGACCAAACCTCTAATGGAACTGACAATCAGCTCTTCTTGTATTTACTGATGTGCATATCTGGCCCAATTTAATTTATAATGACGTTTTGCTTATTTACTAACAAAAACTGAATGCAAGAATCATGAATGCAATAACAGAGAAAAGTCATCAGGTCTCAGTTCTAGACTCGAAGAGGACAAATGCTTTGTACAAACCTGGAACAAAAAGAGTGTTGGATGGGCATGACAGGAAGCAGCTCTCTATGCCTCCTGTCTTACTACACACCAGCTGAGCCTTGGGAGCTGGTTTGGCATTTGGGAGACATTTCACCATCTCTGAGGAGAAAAAAATAAAGAGAAATATAAAAAAAAAATAAATCAGACACTGCCCAACCCAGAACCTCGTGCTTACGCTTGGATACAGTGGTGAGGAAAGGCAGAAGTGCTAAAAAACCCAAAATGACAGGTGCAGGCATTTCTGAAATAAGAAAATATTAGGGAGAGAGGATCTGGATTTGGATCTCGAGCTTGTACTTGCCAGTGAAACTCCTCCATGTTTTTAGACCTAAACTTTAGATCAGTCTTTCCCTCCTGCCCTCTGCTTTGGGACCACCCAACCACGGCTCTAGGTCTCACTCTGGAAGGCAGGAGTCTGTGAGCACAGTTCTGTGTGCACATCTTGATCTCAGAAGCAACAGGCAACACTGATGACCTGAGATGTCCTCTCCCCCCTTTTGGAGGCACAGGGCAACTACCACACCATCACAAAGATTTATTTATTTAGATGAACCACTAAAATCATATTTTTCACTTAAACTCTCACAGACTTTTCAACTTTAGCCCAATGCTCTAGCTTCTGGAACTAGAAAAGACAGCCAAGCAGAGGAGATGCTGGGATGGAGATGGACAGTCCCACCGGTCCTTTCAGCCACTGCTGACATGCCCCAAGCAGTGCTAGAAGGGACAGTGTGACACACAGAGAGATCTCAGCCATTTCTCATCTGTGCCCACCACATGGGGCACGTTGCAGCTCACATGAAGGAAATACAGAGCCTCTCCTCTTGGCTCCATGGCAGGATGAAGACAGAGAGTATCCTGCAGGTCTCACAAGCTACTCCTCACGTTTGGGTAAGGGACTGTTTGTGTTGTAGCTGAAAACACATAAAGTTATTATGAATCGTTCCAGCAGTCTCTGAGCTTCACCCTGAGGTGATGACACTGATAATCATAAGCCTGCACTCATTTTAATTTATCACTTTTTTGGATTGAAGTATTGCTTAAGTACATCCTTTTTCACACGCAAATGACAAGGTTCATTCCCGGCTGCAGCCGGCAGGTGCCATCACTGAGGCAGCCTCACTGCTTCCCTCCTTTTTCCCAGAGATTTCACCTCTCCACAGAGTGCAGCTGGGCACCTCTTCAAGCATCAGCTGGTTAAATCTCAGCCAGGTGTCTGCTTCAGCCCCACAAAAACGCTGTTTCAGGGACGTGATTGTTCTCCAGCTGCCTCTTGCTACTTCTTCCAACCATGCTCCCCTTACAAGGTGGGCTTGGCTGACTCTTTGTTCTTCTCATGGCTCACTGGGCTACTGCAAATGTCATTTTTCCTCCCTGAACAACACCAAGGCAGGGAGTTGCTTCTAAGATCAGACTGGTTTGGCTCTACCAGGGTTTGGGAAAAGTCCAGTAAAGCTGGCATGATACAGAGCAATTCAAATGCTGGAGCTGGAATACGTGTTGCCTGGGTTGGCCTGAGTGCAGAGGAAGGGTCCCAGCAGCCACCAGCTGGTTCATATTCCTGGCCTCACTGGTCATGAAATATAAATACATACAAGTCCCATAAACACACCTGATGTTCACATCTCAAGCATGGGAATAATCATCCTCCACTTATCTCCCTCCTAAGGTCTTTCATATTGCTTTGGTGATGTCTTTAAAGACACTGTTTCTTTGGACTGAGGAGACAACAAAGCACAGAGTGCCACTGCTGAGCAAAAGAGGGTTTTATTACTGCAAATGTCTCCAAATTGAGGCATTCAGGATCACTGAATATAATTCACCTGCTTTTTATTGTGCTTTTATAACAATGTAGAATGTAGTTTCCTCTCAACAATGTTGGGAATAAAGGCAGGCAATCGACAGGGAGATGACACTCATTTTAAGCCTCATTAAAGTAATCAAGCACAATGGTGTGTATCAATAGAGAAAGGTGTTCTATTTTCCATCTTCCAGCAGAGTATTACAAATAATGAGGAGATATTTACAACAAGGAAAATGTTCTCAATGGGAAATGGGAACACCGTTCTTAGGAGGTTGGGAGGAAATACAGCACAAAACTTCTGCAGTCTGACTTTATACCACACCTCCAAAAATTTGAGTCCCTGCTGCTAATTTACAAACTCCTTTCCAGAGGAATAACTGGCATATTGCAAGGGAGAACTGGTGGGTAACTAAGGAACAGAGTTATCTATTTCTTATTGTTACAACACTTAGCCCTCTATACAGCAGGGAAGGCAATATATATAAAGGTAAGCCATATATAATTCTCTGAAGTAAGGTCCCCCCCTTTCTTGTTCTCTCTTGCTCCCAGTGAGGTATCAGGCATCAGCCCCAAATGTATCTGTGAGAAGTTATTTGTGGTTAAAACAAAAAAAAAACAAAACCAAAACCAAAAAAAGCAAACAAAACCCTCGGAACCAAAATTTGCCTGTGACAAACCTAAGCTATGCCATTCCCATTAAAAATGGACAGAGAGCATTAAAATCCCACAGAAAATACTCTGAATGGCTGTAGCCATCACCAAGATTTGCTGTGCTTCAAATAGTATCTCAGGATAAAAGTAATCTATTTAAAAAGGATACAGAAATTCAGGTCAAGGGCCATAATTTTAGTGGTCTCAGGATTTGTGCTCATTGTGATTAATACTTTCGACACAGCTTGTGTCAGTACTTTATATTAGGCAGGATACCTTTGGAGATAACTTGAAACATTGGGGTATGGTGCTGTGAATGCAGATATTAATCTTAATAACCTGTTCTACTTGTAAACAGGTAAATATTTTGAATATTCTAAATTCCTCTTAGAGGGAAACAGAGTTATAGCTTACATTATAGAGATGAAAAAAGAACAAATTAAGGACAAAAGTATAAACCACAGAAGATAATAATAATAAGCCTACTTAGATTTCTGTGAATGGACTTGTAACCTTAAAAAAAAATCCAACATACTGTCCTTTCTCTAAACCACCTGCAGTTTTATCCTAGCCCATGGATCCCCACAGGACCAGGTATTATCTGAGTTTATAAAATTAATTTGGGGCTCTATGTTGTGAAAATGCAGCATCTCTCAGACGAAACCAAGGGCTTTTCCACTCTCTTGAGAACAGGAGCATCACCACAGTTCAAGCTTTTGCACTTACCAACACAGTCCTTTTTATTCCAGTGCAGTTTCTTTCCAGGTGGGCAGACACACTCATAGCTCCCCATGGTATTAAGACACCCATAGTCACAGCTACCATTGCTGATGCTGCATTCATCAATATCTGAAAATATAAACAAAGTTGCAAGGAGTGTTAACCATATGTGCAAACATACACTGTGCATTAAGATAAAATGTGCATAAGGAAACCTCTTTCTACTCCATCTTTTATATCTGAGTCTCTGTCAACATGTATAAAGGCAGGCAATGCTCATGCCAACCAACTTTAATGCATATTGCATGTCTCTGTCCTCAGACATGTATATCTCCTACTCTCTCAGGGATTTATGCATAGGATCCAATTCACTTGCCAGGAGTAGTTACATTGAAATTCTTGGAAGTACTCACAAGATACAAAACATGCTCCAAAGTCTCTGCAGCATCTGGACAAAAATGCATATTGCATTATAGAGAAAAATGTCAGAGGCACAAACATCTGTGAGATTAGGTCACTTCTGCAAAACAGGGAGATAAATTCTCCAGTGATTCCCAGATTTTGCTTTTATGATTCAGGCGAAGGAGGAAATGATGTATTCAATAAAAACCTAGCAGCTCGAGTGTAGTTTAGACTTCTACTCTCTGAATAAAAATAAAAGGTAGAAGCTTGGAAGAAGGCAAAGAAGTTACTGTGTATGTCATCACTGATGTCCCACATAAAATCTTTCAACTTTTGGTGCTTCAGGAAAGTATCCAGCCAATATGAGGTGTATCCTTTTTAAGTCTATTCATTCAGCATTTATATACTCATGCCAACAAGGCAAATCTCTCCTCTGGTGAGAGGAGGTTAATCACACCAAGGTTGTGGGTTCAATCCCCATATGGACCATTAAGGGTTGGACTCGATGATCCCTGTGGAATCCAGTATTTCTGATGCAAGATTTTAGCCTGTGTGATTAAGCAAAAATCTAGAAAACATGGACTACATGCACTGAAGGAAGTGGGAAAGATACCTTCATACAATAGGCATGTTTCTAGACAATGTTATGATTTTTAGGTCAGAGTCTGGAGGTCCTGGGTCAGCAGTCCCAAAAACTGACAAGTCCCAGAAAAAATCCTTACTTAAACAGGTAGTGGAAGCACCAGCATTGCCCTTCTAAAAAACCCCCTTATGACACACAATTTCTGTTACAAGAGATACCATGAGAAGAGTCTTAGAGAGAGCAACAAGAGCTGCCCTTCAGCATAACAGGCCCAGAACAAGGACATTTCCACGTGGTTTATTAATTTCTACTAGAGGGGAAGCAAGATGGAGAGAAAGCTTAGGAAGAGGTGAGCTTGCACCACATCCTTTGGAAGGCTCTCATTATTTCTCCCTGGTTTTCACTTCTGTTCAGTGCCAAGGGGAAGTTATTTGTTCCACTGTAAACACCTCTCTCAAGGGGCTGACTAAAAGTAATGACAGGCCTGAGTGGCAAAGCTCAGGGTCTGCACAAGTCTGGATTCTGAGCTGTGATTTTGGATTTGCTCATTATGGAAAAAAGCAGGAGTTTTGGATCTCGTTATGTTTTTGCCTGAAGTTCAGCACTGAGTATTTCCAGTTAAGAGTTCTGGTCCTATTTCAATCTTATTTAAAAGGCTGAAGCTGAACTGAGGCTGAAGGTACTTAAAGACTGAGGCCAAACCCCAAACTTTGAGGCTTTCCCTGAGTTATGACACCAAGGAATTAACAGTGAAACTGCAGACCAGTCTCTCCACACCACACACAGCACAGGTCCCCAAACTTTCACACTCTGGTTTTGCTTTCAGAACTGCCCTCAAGTGGAGTCTTTTCCCAAACTGTTTCCTTAGATGGACTCCTATTTCTCTTCCTGCCTGCCTCTAGCATACAGTGAATTCATTGGATACCTACATCTCCTACGCCCTTCTCCCAAAAAAGCAGCAGCCAGGCAGAGACATCATTAGCAGTGGCCTCAATACATGGCTTTTCTGGATTTAAAGCCAGGGCTTTGTTAACAGTATGATGTAAGCTTTACTTAGATTGTATATTGAATAATTTGAATAATTAACTAATTATGTATTAACCATGTTAAACTAAACCAAACCTTTTAGTTTTACATGAGAGCCTGGAGACCCTTTTGGGTAATGTGTACTTCAGATTCAGGGATTTCAGGTTTTATTACAGTTTTCACTTTTCACCTTTGTTTGTGTAATGCTGACCTGATTGGTTAAAATCCACAATTTGGACTTGATACACTTAACAAATCCCTCAAAAACCCCCTTTGGTCTCCTCTGACCACTGGGGCAGGTCAAAACCTGCCCCAGCAAATTGTAGTCATGCCCAGCTCATGCTCTTTTAGCTCTATTTTAACTTTATTGCTTTATCATCTTGGGTTCTAAAACCTTGACCTGAAAGAACTTGTGGTTCAGCAAACATTCACAGAGCAAACAAACACACACATGAGCAAAACTCAAAGTTTCCAAACCTCCACAGTGTGTCAGTCCATACAGGGTGTAGCCTTTGTGGCAGAGACACTCAAAGCTTCCAGGGTAGTTGATACAGGTGTGATCACAGGTCCTCTCAAATGAACACTCATCTATATCTGAATTAACAGAAAAAGCAGCAAGAAATTAGACTTTAGTTAAACATACGGTTGCAACACCTTGTTACTGATAAAGTAACAAGGTATTACCTTACTCCCATGTCAAACCTGAATAAAATAACTCCTTTAGTGCCTGATTAAGAAAATACTTACAGGTACACGGAGAAAGGAAAGAAAAGACAGTCTGGGAAAACCCCACGCAGACTGTATTATGTATGTTCGCCATTAGATGGCAACCTTTAACTTCTGATCGTACTGACCGGCAGGGCTGGGGGGCTGTTAAAGTTTTGGGGGGTTAATGGCAAAATGGGAAAAAGTTTTGGGTTGAATCGAGTCATTCCCCCTTCCACTGACCATTCCTCTGACACCTGGGCCTCCAGGAACGGGAGTTGCTCCCAGTCTTCTGCTCTGCCTACACAAGACTGAACAGACTTGCAACAGCTACAGAGGTTTATCTGACAGCAGTCATGGCAGAACAGACTTACTGAAAATGGCTAAATTAAACAGCAATCTGCGCAAAATAACACTTTGGAGTTAATTTTATCCTTAAACAATTGGGTTTTTTAAAAAAATTCTCTTCAGTGTTTAATTTTCCTGTGTTTAGGCCAGAGAAATTAATACAATGGCATTATTTGAGAGTGGTAGTTTCAACAGCTCTCATTCCTCCAGTGTTCCTGAGATATAAATGAATGGAATAATATTCCTATAACACTTTACACACTTTCTAGAGTTACTTATTAAGAGCATAACCTGAGCAACACCATTACAATATATGACTTGGACTTTCATATTGTACATGCTTGGAAAGATGTGGGTGCCTGTAAAAACTTGACAACTCACCATATTCCTATATCCAAGTATTATTTACACAGTTTTGATGTTTAATGAAACATTCTGGGTCTCATCTTGCTATTATAAATGCAGACACTTAACTCCAAGAACTATAAAATCAAGATTTTCTGTATGTGTACACAAACCCAAAATCTGTGTGAGAGCTTATAGGCACAAATTTAGAATGTCGTAAACAGCTCTATTTTTATACAATCTCCAATTTTAAATGTTTCAAAACATTCACACAAAAGATAATTCTCAACGTGGGAAGCAACTGTTCAGGCAAATGCATAACACAAAATAAAATAAACATGATGAACAAAAATCTGTGCTACCCAGTTTTATGTGTACATCACAATCACTTGCTATAATCAAGTCAGAAAAACGACAACTGAGATTTTCTCTTTCTTTCATCCATTTAATTTTTAATGCATTTTCCTATGCCTTTTAAAATATCATTATTTGAGTTCTGAAAGTAATTTCTTTTTAAGGTTTCCTTTATAGTCTTGGTAATACTCAGCTTTTGAATACACATAAATGGCAAACTGTTTCAGTTTTCTCTAAATAAATACACAAAGTAAAATCATGGGGGAATGAACAGTGCGGTTATAAAGGATTTTTAATGCCTAAGAAGCCAAATCATACATCATGGTTTCATTCATGTGTAACCTCGGGAAATTCACAACAGCAGTTCATTTTCTGGCCTCTGACTTACCTTGGAAAGGCTCTTTTTCAAAAATACAATTTCATACTTCTCAGTAGTGACCTTACCCTGGGCTAGTTAGTTCAGTCCACGGGGTTTACGAGCTGCTTTCACACACGGCACTTTGTGCTGCTGCACGTTGTGGCTTAGGCCCTTTTTTTATTTTACATTAAGAAAAAAGGGCAAATCCCTCTGCCCAGTAACATGACCAGTCATCTGCCTGCCGAGGAACAGGCACTCAGGATGGACAAATGCATTTCTATGACAAAGATGTAGCAGAGAAAAAAGGGTGAAAAGCCTTTTAAAGCCCTCATCCCACCCCTGCTGAATTCAGCACCTTGCTCTGGCCGATGGAACGTGGGAAGGCTCCATGAGGATTTCCCTTGCTGGCCCCCAGCCCCTTCTCCTCCTGGCTGTGGAAGGCAGGGCTGGGCACTGCCCGGGGGTCCCAGCAGAGCCCTGTCTGCACAATCACCAGTCCCCTGAGGAATTCAGCACTTGGCATAGAAAAGGGAAAAATATGCACCACGTACTCCTCACTACAAGAAACCGGTGCTGTGATACAGGATGCTGAAACCCTTGAAATCCTCTTTTTTTTTTTCCTTTTCTTTTTAAACTCTGAAATCTGTGCTCTGGACACTGTTATCCCCTGGCTCCCAGAAACTTTGAAGTTGGCCCTCACACCTCTGCAGTGCTTCATAATACTTCTCCAAACTGAGCCTGAAGGGATGTGCTTGTTTCCCACCACCCTCGTGACACCCTTATCATGAGGTGCTAAAGACACCAGTTGTGGGTTTGATCCCTGTATGGGTCACTCACTTGAGAGTGGACTCGATGATCCTTGTGGGTCCCTTCCAACTCAGAATATTCTGTATATCTCTTAAGATATACAGGAAGGCAGGGATTATCCCTTCACAGCCCCTGCTTACCACACCAACTGGGAACAAATGTAGGGATCTAAACCCTGTCTCCTTTGTGCAAACAACACTACAAAATCTGGTAGCCTCACCTACTGAAGAGGAGTCAAAAAAAGCCAAAACCAGAGATGTGGCATGTTACAGCTGGAGCACTGAGAACAAAAAATTTATCTTTCAGCTTTCTGGTCAAATCAGCCCCCCTCCCCTCCACGAACACACATATTTCTGTATTGTGTTGCTCTGAATTTCCCCCCTCCCACAAACCAGAATAAATACTAATAAATTATCTTTCTGGGTCTGAGGTGCTCTTAAAACAACTTAAAGTTATTTAAGTGAAGTTTTTTAACTGTTTTAACATGAAAAGTCAAAGTGTTGTGTTTTCAAGGAACTAAGGGGGAAAAGTTCAACTTGAGTTTGAAGTTTGTATTCTATTTTTAGTTGAATTTGGCATAAATTCAGAAATAGTCCAAGCTCTGTCAGAACATTTCAGATTTGCTAATGCATTTATCTGACATCAAGTCAAAAATTCCTATCACACTCACCACTGCAGGTGAATTCATATCACACCCATCACTGCACAGGCCCTTGTGCCATTCCAGCACATAAAGAAATGTCTTCACAGCTTTGCTGCTTGAAGTTTACAGGGACCATGGGGCTAAGTTCATTGCTTCTAGTACATGATTAGTTTCCTGCCAGCTTTTTTTTTTTAGGATTACTAATGGTACATATAAAGTCTAAGAGCAGGACCTCCCTGTTTCACAGCAGATGGCTCAACGGAAGTGCCAAGTTCAGGGCTTGGAGCAGATGAGTTCCAAAGGTCCCTTCCAAGCTCCACCACTGATCCATGGGCAATCCCAGACCTCTCCCTATGTGTCCTGTGCTGCTGACAGCTCAGCTTCCAGCCCACGTTTCCATGACATCAAGGCATCATCTCAGGCTGAATAAAGTCCAACATCTCTTCTAGCAATCCCCCTTCCCATCTCCAAAGAGAATGTCTGAACAGTGGAAGCACTCTTTGATTTTTGCACAGAAGGGATTCAACTAGAAGAGATTGTTCAATGGTTTAATAAAAGAGCAGGATTTCCCCAGGTTTTTGAGGGAAGCAATTTTTGGCAAGACTGGCCATGCTTGATAATATTAGTTTGGCTGGGTTCCTATTATTTCAAGTCAGCATTTGGATTTTATTGTTGGTTTTTCAATCATACTTAGCTTCTTTTTTCCCCCTGCTTTCACATGTTAAACGATCCCTTAATGATCTTTATTTTTCTTGAATGCAAAGTTAGTAAGTGGGTGTCAGGTTGTCAGTACTGGAAAGTCAAGTCTTCTATCTCCAGAAGGGAGCTACCACAGATCAAATTTCTTCTACAGTTTCCTCACACAGATGTGTCTCAAAGGCGACCTGAGGGAGCAGGGAATAAAGCAGCTTATTTTCCACGCCCATTCAAGTCCCTTTCCACTGGCCCTGCCCCTGGACATTTCCATAAAGCACTGGCATTACAAGCAAGCAGCTCAACACCCAACATGTGCAGGTGAGACTGGAAAACAGTGGCTGATTTAGAGATGCTTTAGAAAGTCCAAACTGGTGTAGGAACCTCTGTGACAGAACCCTGGCAGAACGTACACGTGCAAAGCCCACTCACACGGAGGTGTGATGAGGGGGTTGTGGTTACAGAACTGAACAACCCAACACCCAGTTTGCCCAATTTCACCTTAAAAATCTACTGCAGAAATAAGGGTTGTCCCCTCTCTTTCTTCCTCAATGTAATTTTGTTTGTTCATATTAAGAACAATTGTTTTCAGAAAACCAATGATCATCTCAACAGCTTTTCTCTGACACATGCATTAAGTAACTAGGTCAATTTAGGAAACTGGGAACCTCCTCCCAAAACACAGGCCAGATATTGTGACTGAAGAAGAGTTTGGTCTTGCTGCTTGGAGTACTTTTCCTGTGATTTGAAAATAAACGTGGCAAGGAGAGATCACTGTTATTTGACGGTGCTATTTGTGCTACAGAGAACAAGACAGGAGAGGCTCAAAGACAATCAATAAAAGCTATAACAGGGATTTGTGACTGTAATGATATATTTCATTTGTGTGACACATCTTATACTTGATTTATCTGTGTCTGGTGAGGCAAGACAAGAAGTATGCACTAGATCACTGCATATATGCAAAATACATAAATTTAAATATACTATTGCAAATAGAAGTGAAATAGAAAATTAATACTTTTTACTAAGAAATGGAATGTACAACAAAAAGAAAAGGAAATCTCTGTCTCTGCTAGCAACTCCTTCATCAGCAAAAGTGACTCATGACACCCTGAATGCTGGTACATCAGCCAAAAATGGTCATGATATTACAGCAATACTTCGAGGTGCTGTTACAGTCATGACTCCACACACTCCCAATATATAGTTCTGTTTTGTCCATCTCATGCAGCCCTGGTTTATTTTTAACCCCCAAGCCAAATGTGGACTCATTTGTACCCCGGATCATGCACACAAGCCAAGTTCAAGGTTAGTCAGAACGTTTCGCGTTCACCTTTC